TGTACTTACCTCCTTATCCATCTATCTATCGATGTATCTATCTATCTAGTTGTCCATCTATGTATGTATTTATCTATCTATCCTTGGATCTATCTATCTATCTATCTACCTATTGATCTATCTATTTATCTATCTGTTTATCGATCAAGGTAGCCATCGATCTATCTATTTATCGATCGATGCTTCTATCTCTCTATCTATTTATTCATCTATTTATAGTTTTATCTATCTATCTATCTATCTATCTATCGATGTATTGATCTATCGATCTATCGTGGATGTTCTAGTCCCATTGAGGCCGTGCCGGGGAATAGAGACTCGCAATGTTTACGTCCCGCACATGCGTGCGCTCGCGCGCGCGCGCGCCGCGCGCGCGCGGAGAAGCACCTGCATGCAGGATGGTTCGCGCGAAGTTACTTTACATTTGACATTATGTTTCTGATTCTATTCCCACAAAGCTTTTTTGGGGGCTAACATTTTCTTCTGCAGGAGGTTTGAGTGAAGAGAAGTATCAATCTCAGTTTGGCAATATTTTTCCTGTTGCTCTCTTTTGCCCCCCCCTACCTTTCGTCCCCCCCTCTCAAGTATTAAGTTGTCACCAGTTTCTGGAGGGTATATCGAAGGTGAAGTTCTCGACACCCCTGTCGCTAAAATATCTCAGACTGTTGGGGCCCAGGTTGCTGAGATGGCTGAGCAAGCAGAGGATGTGGGCAAGTCCAAAGCTGTGACTTGCCCACTGGGGTTGAGGGAGTAGGACTTTTTCTGGGCAAGCAGCTGAATGCTTGGTGTCGGGGACGTTCCAGGGTACTCAAAACCACTAGGTCCTGACCGGCCCACCAAAAATGCACAGAACTGCAATTTTTATGAAAGAGATTGAATGGGAAAAAAACAGCCTCCAAAAGTTTGGTTTTTCCATGGTTTTTCTCGATGTGTTTTCATGGTGATTCTGTATCCCCTATGGGCCCCAATGCCTTGTTGGTGGGTTTGGCCTGCACAGGTTGGTTTTTGTAGACCCTTTGACCCCAGAAGTATTTTTGTAGTATGCGAACTCAGGTCCCTGAGACGTCTGACAAGACCACAGATGGTGAAGATCCCGGAGCTGCGTCTTGTCTGTGGAGTTGAGACATGGAAGGGTCATTTAAGAATACATACATATGTATATATATATATACTGTATATGTATACAATGCTGCTGATTCTGAGCCCAAATCTGCAACTAGTTCGTTGAGCCCGGGTTTCCAGGTTGGCAGTGGGTTTGAGACTTAAAAACTCTTTAAAGAGTGATATATATATATATATGGTTCTATATTGTTTTAAATGCAGTGATTTTTATGTCATTGATGATATTAGAATGTTAAGTCTCCAAAAGTTTGGTTTTTCCATGGTTTTTCTCGATGTGTTTTCATGGTGATTCTGTATCCCCTATGGGCCCCAATGCCTTGTTGGTGGGTTTGGCCTGCATAGGTTGGTTTTTGTAGACCCTGTGGCCCCAGAAGTATTTTTGTAGTATGCGAACTCAGGTCCCTGAGACGTCTGACAAGACCACAGATGGTGTTGATCTACATCCCGGAGATGCGTCTTGTCTGTGGAGTTGAGACATGGAAGGGTCATTTAAGATCATAACAGTATATATACAAGTCATATGTATATAATATTATATAATTGTTTATATATATATATTTGTATACATATATATATATATCTACTGTAGACATTTTGATATTTAGATTTTCAATTTCCATAGAAACAATGTAACCATGCAATTGCAATTCATGTATTGCTGCTGATTCTGAGACCTATATTCGTTGAGCCCGGGTTTCCAGGTTGGCAGTGGGTTTGAGACTTAGAAGAGAGTGATATATATGGTAATATATTGTTTTTAAATGCATTGATTGTATGTCATTGATGATATTAGAATGTTAAGTTTTCACCAGTTGCTGGAGGGTATATCGAAGGTGAAGTTCTCGACACCCCTGTCGCTAAAATATCTTAGACTGTTGGGGCCCAGGTTGCTGAGAAGGCTGAGCAAGCAGAGGATGTGGGAAAGTCCGAAGCTGCGACTTGCCCACTGGGATTGAGGGAGTAGGACTTTTTTTTGGCAAGCAGCTGAATGCTTGGTGTTGGGGACGTTCCAGGGTACTCAAAACCACTAGGTCCTGACCGGCCCACCAAAAATGCACAGAAGTGCAATTTTTATGAAAGAGATTGAATGGAAAAAAACAGCCTCCAAAAGTTTGGTTTTTCCATGGTTTTTCTCGATGTGTTTTCATGATTTTTCATGGTGATTCTGTATCCCCTATGGGCCCCAATGCCTTGTTGGTGGGTTTGGCCTGCACAGGTTGGTTTTTGTAAACCATTTGGCCCCGGAAATCTTTCTGTAGCATGTCGAACAGTCCAGCGAGACATTGTTCCATATTGTTTTTTTTGTATTAATCTGCCCTTTCGATTCCCTTCCGTTCAATTCTGAACTTTGAAGCATCATCCATTTCCTTCCTTTTGAGGTTCCAGAGGTGGAAGCTGACACTGCATATGATCCAGAGCTTGAAGCACTTATCGCACCTTTGCCTGATAGAGCCCCCACATTTTTGCACCACAAGTATCCACAAGTCAATAATTCACCCGATGCCCACTTATGCACACAGACTATTTTTTTAAATGAGGAATTTGGATGAATCTGGTCTTTCTTTGTTTCGGCCTGCCATGGAAGTTCTGCATCACCTGGGCTTCACTTCTTTGACAATATCCAATAATGGTTTTTGTAGAGCTTGCCAGTCACATCAGTTTGTTTGTAGCATGGAACAGTCAAATAGGAAACCTCTTCTACATACTCTTTATGACTACTGCAGGGGTTTTGTTGCTTCGGTCTTTTTAAGGCTCTCTATGCAGACCATGTGCAGAACGATGGGGTCTACCTGGGAATTTTGGACATAGCAATTCTAGCAGCTGCACACGAGAAGGATGTCCTCCTCCTGGTTTATGACAATGAGACCAAAGGACCTCCTGTTGTGCGCTCTGTGAGTTCCTACTTGAATGGGTTGGACACTAAAGCACTTCTTCCAGGTGAAGAAAGCCCCAGCATTCATTCACCGAGCACTTGGATCTTTGCTGCCTGCCACAATTCCTTTGAGCGGGTTGACTTCCTGAAGTTGAATCATTACTTGCCACTTTACCCCAGAAGTCAGTTGAATGAGGAATGGGACCCGATGGTTTCCAAACTATTGAAGAAGCTTGATGATGCCATTGCCCGTACACAGGAACATTTGAAGGAGATGCAATTTGTAGATGTGATGATGGCTCAGTCGCTTCACCAGCATGTGGCCCGCTTGGAGAAAAGGAAAGTGTTCTACGATGAGGCAATCAAGTTGGAGCTCCTGCCAGCAGAAGTTCCTGGGGACGGCAATTGTGCTCTCTGGACCATGCTGGCAGTTCAAGCAGGTTGCTTTGTGCAGTCCACCCTGAGCACGGAGGAGCGTGTGCAAGAGCTAAGGATGGAACCTTGGTTTGTTTGCAAGGGATTGCTTTTTGTAGAGGTTTTGATAGTGCATTGTTTTTTTTGATGTTTTTTGTAGGTTCTTTTTAGTTGCATCAATCAGCTATTGGTATCTTATCTATTGGTATTGTTTGCCAAAGATGTTTTTGTAGAGCTTATCAGTCGGGAAGGCTTTTTTGTAGCATATCTTGGAGATTGGAATCAATGGATATCATCTGATATCAACTGTTAATTGCCAGGAGCTCGCGGCATTGTGGAAAAGCCGTTCCAAAGACCCAGCATGGCAAAGATTGTTTGGTGCGCAGGGACTGGTCGAGGAAATGCCAGCTCAGCTCCGCCAATCTGTCAAGGCACAACTGGACTCGCCAGCCAAGCCCCAAACGCCTACTGCCAAGAAATCACCCAAGAAAGCAAAGAGTACTCCAGTGAAAACCCCGCAGAGCAAGCAGCAGACTCCTTTGCAAAAAAAACGCACAGCATCGGGATTTGCTACACCTGAGAAAGGAAACAAGAAGGGCAAAGCGGAAATTGATAGCAATGAAATGACACCGGAAAAGCCAGGTGTGCGCAAATCTCGAGTGAAAAGGAAACAGGATAGCAATGAAATGTCACCAGAAAAGCATGGTGAACCCGAAAAACATGGTGAATGCACCTCCCGAGTGAATCAGTGCCGGCCTGTAGCCTTTGGACAACCCCGCAAAGTAGAGACTGTTTTGAAAGCTCCCCAGAAAAGGAAACAAGAAGCAAGAAAGGAAGAACCAAGCTCTGAAGGGGAAGGGAACGTAGGCAAGACAAAGAAGAAACGCCAAAAGCAGGCAAAAGTTAAACCTGATGCAGCATCTGAAGATGATGGCCTTGCTCTTGGCGATTCAGACTCAGAGGAGAGAGCTGCAACATACATAGCGTCCAAGATCACACTAGAAGATACTGGAAGAACATATTTTTATATTCTGTTTTCTTGTTTGTCCCACATGAACCTGATGGTGTTGCACGTTTCTGGCCAAAAGAGTCTCCACCTCATCTCCTTCTTTATGAATTCCCTGCAGGACAAGCTTCGTCTTCGTCGCAGCTCGCACACGCGCTCCTGCTGGAAGAAGCCTCAGACGAACCAGGACAAGAAGCGAGCAGCCACCAGGATGTTTCTCTCTGGGATCGGCATCACATGGGCAGAGTTCCAGCGTGTTCATTCCAGGCCTGCTCTGATGTGGATCCAAAAATGCACAGAAGTGTAATTTTCAAGAAAGAGATTATACCGAAAAAAAAATGATAAAAAAATGTTGAAAAATGAAGACACAACTGCTTTTTCTATGTGTTCTCATCATCCTCATGAAAACCTTTGCTTGATTTTTATCAGTAGTTTCTGGAGCAGACTTGGTTTTGCTTTTTTTAGTGCCTAGACCTTGGCTTTGGTGTTTGTAAGGAATTTTAAATAGGTCTCTTTTTGTTCCCCTCTTTTTATCCCCTTTTTTCCTTTTTCTTGCGCCCTGATGCACCCTGTAGGTTGGCCAACATGAAGAAGGCGTCCTACTGCTCCATGAACGGCTTCAAAAAGTTGCAAGCAGCCTTACTCAATGAAGCAGAAGTGAAATGCGAGTCATGCATAAAGCTCCTGGAAATGTGTGGGTACACCCGCCAGAAGCATGACGAGGCTGTGAGTGCATGGCTCAACGGAGACGAAAGAGTTGCTAGAGGAGCTGATGTCACAGAGGATAAGGAGAGAGACGGCAAGCAGAAAAAGGCAAGGGATGGAGAAGATGAGCCGGAGAAGAAGGGTGCAGCACATGATGATTGCACGCTTTCGGAGGACAACGGTGAAGCACATGATGGAAACAAAAAGTCAGATGATGGGATCTCGCCAGCTGAAAAATTGGAGCAGCTCTTCGAGGAGTTTTCCCCGATCATCAAGATATTGCCAGCAGGGACCAGGAACAAGAAGGTACCGTACCAGTGCACAGTGTGCAGGACACGTCGCTTTCCAAAGGGCAAGATTGGTGAGCTGAGCAAGAGGAAATACAAAACCTGCAGGCATTTTCTCCTGAAGCATGTCAGGTCTCCGATGCATCAAAGATATTTGCGCCTGTCAGAGACTGCAAGCGTCCCAATCACTGTTGGTGGGGCTCATGGAGAGGTACGCCCTTGCCCGGGATTGTGTGTGAACGATCCTCACAATGCTGGAAAGCTCTACGCCTTCAGAGAGGAGTTTCGCATCTGGGCATCGTATGCAAATCTGGCTGAATGTTCTGTGCACAAATATTGGCATGAAGTCAGTGAAAATGCTTGGTACATCCGGGCGAAAGATTGTGAGGAGGAAACCGATCAGATGAGCACGGATGGGAAGTTTGTTTGCGGACAATGCAAAGCTTTGGGGTATGCCCATAGTGTTCCTACACATGTGAATTCAGGGAAAGAGTTTCAAAAAATCTTTTTGTAGAGCCCACTTGCCTAAACAGCTTTTTTGTAAGGATGATCAGGCAGAATCCCATTAGATCTAATAGAATCAAATGGAAGCAAAAGGACTTTCTGTAGATACTATCATGCTGGAAAACTTTTTGTAGCTAGATTGGAGGTTTATGGTTGGTCATTCCTTTGCCATCCTTTTGAGGTTGTGCGCGGTGTGCAACGCTTTGTACGCAAATACTATGCAGCCACTTTGTTGAGTGCCAGGATGTTTGGCGGATCTGACGGCCTGGCTGAGGTGATGGCGGAGATCAATGGTAGTAGCATGTCTGGAGATACAGAACTGGGCAAGCTGAAGCAGTTGAGGACCGGACCATTGCAGCTGTATGTGCGCAAGTCCTTCATGTCCAATGCCTACACCAGCATCAAGCTGAAGGAGTTCATTTCGGTGGTGGTGAAACCATGTCTTCAAGTCAACGTGTCAGCTGTCCCAGAACACATGGCAGACGTCATGGCACGTTTCACAGCGATTGTACGTGGAGGTGAAGCATCTGAGCAGGATGCCTGCAATCTCAAGATGGCAGCAAGCTGTTTGAGTGGCGAACTGGAATCGCATCCTTTGATTCAAGGATTAGTTCTGCAATGTCATCGGATGCTGCACAAAAAAACTCTTGGTGTGGGAATGCAAGGGCCACGCCAAGATTGCACCGAACTTGAGCACAGCCTGATCTCTGACGCAGGTATGAGCTTGGCAATGGCCACCGGCAATTCCGTGCTAGCACGAGAATTTGGATTGTCTTCTGCCTTATGTCGAATTTCCCTTGATGAGCTCGACAAGAATGCCTTGCCAAATAGTGCACTTGCCCTTCTTTGGCCAGAGCAATTGAAGGAGAACTTTGTCATCGCAGACCAGCGGTTCGTGAGGCCTGAGAACACTCCAAAACGTCACCTGCTGAACAAGATGATTTTTTTTGTTGTATTTAATGCTTTTTGTATCTTATGGAGTTCGGTTTTTCCTTTTTGTAGCTTTTTTCTCCAGACACAGTTTCGTTTTTATTGTTTGGTCATGAAGTGAGAAAATTTGAAGTTAGCTTTAGAAACTTTGCAGGCAGATTGTGCCTTGCATTCGATGCAACCTACTTGACGTCTACACTATCCCAAATGCAACTTCGAGGGCGCAGAGGGATGGTGGGTGGAATGTGGTACCCAGATGCAGATGCAGAAGTTGAAAATGCATTTGTTCCCTTGGACGGTGACGACATTGACATTTCCAAGGCACATGATTGTTTGGGAAGGAAGGGAACGTTCAATAGCCAGTCTAGACATATTTGGATTTCTTTGGCAGATATCATGTTCTCCCAGATTCTATTGTGGCTGAAGCAATGGCATCCACATCGGTTTTTGTAGATCAGCAATGAAGTCAATTCGTTTTTGTAAGCTCTTCATCCAACGAACTTTTATATGGTGATTTAAATTGATTTAGTTGTTTCGTTTGTTTGGGCATTTCCAGGTGCGCAAAGCATCCACAGTTTTGGAATCCATACTGTGGGATCCATGCGCTCAGAAGAAGTTGCCGCTTAGCATATGCTCCATGCCAATCGAACACAACTTTGGTGGGGCCCAAGCTTCTTTGAGAGGGAACCTGTACATGCTCAGCACCATCGGAAAGCTGCTGTCTCTGAGCCAAGGGGTTGTCAAGGCTGTCATCTTCGATGGCCATGGCACGCATTTGCAGTGCCGCAAGCTTCTGCATGGACTTTCGGACCTTGATCGCGAGACTGTGAGAGGCCTTCCCTTCTTTGCAAGCTTGAAGTACGCTCCGTTGCCTGGCTGCTGTTTGCCCCGGCTTCCCATCAGCATCACCTATGTGAACAATGAAGTGATCTGGGGAATTCCCGGAATTTGTCACTGGTTATTGTTTTAGCAGGCGTTTTCTTGGTCAGTTCCGGATTTTGAGTGCTTGTTTGGATTTGTCTGGCATGTTTGGATGTGTTTGGCAGAAAAGAAATACTTTTTATAAGGATTCCTTTGGGCTGCGACTTTTTGTAGCTGACACATGCTGACACTGGCGTCCTTTATCCAGCCTTTTTTTGATTTAGTGAAATAAATCAGGCCATACAAATCCATAAAAGAGCATACACAAATATATGATCATAATATAATATAATATACGTATATCATATTTATATATATATATGTTCTTATTTATATTTTTCAGCCAATGCCTAAACGTTTTCACTTCACATGCATCACCAAAACAGACAGTGCTTCAGGCCATGCTGTGAAAAATTCGGGAGGACAGGCATGCTCATGGATCCGCTGTTTGTACTATGGTCGCTACTGGAACGACCTCACCATGGCGAGAGAGCATGGAATGCCACCATCAGTTCTTGCGAGAGACTCACCAATGAGCGACAGGTTTCAAGCACTTCTGTCGTGTCCCTTCTACTTGGTCGACAGGGTTGACACTTGCTGATGGTTCGGTTCACGATTTTTTTTGTTATATTTTCTCCTGTTTTCAAGGGCACCCAATTGTAAATTTGCTTTTGTAGCGATAATGGAACCGGTAATCTTTTTGTAGCATGTCTATCGCAATGTGAGAACATGCATCCTTGGAGTCAGGACTGTAGCCTTGCTTCAATGCACGTACCTTGGGCATTGAGAGGTGCATTTCTCCATAACCTCATTGCTCCTTGGTTCCAATACAAGATGTTTTTTCAGAAACCTACAACTTGAATACGCACACAAGGGGAACCACCAGTGCTATTTTGTGACCAGGGTTATGGAAAATCCACGAAATTTCTGCATTTTTCTTAAGGTGGCGCTCAACATGGCTCCGCTGCTCCACAGAGACCAGAATTTGGACTTGGCCACCCGCTGCGAGTGGGCACTGTGTGGCTTTTTGGCCATTGACGTGTTCAAACTTCTGGCCGAGGAGACATGCACGAAAATGGCACTCCCTAAAGGGAGCTGTTTTATGGCGTCCCAGACGTCCACCAACTTACAGGCTTGAGGGATGCCTGAGAATTTTATTTTTCTCTGTGTGTTCCAAAGATATTAGCACAACAGGGGCAGTTTGTACAAGGTGTTTCCCTCTGGGCCACTTTTTGTAGCTATGCCCAGGGTATTTGTATCATGCTACAGAAACGGAAACGACCTGTGAGGCATGCAGCCTCGCTGCAGTGGTCGTTTGCCTGACTCGCGATGCCACCTTCGATCCATGGATGCATGGAAATGCACGCCTATCGGAGATCCCGATAGAGCAATGGTTCTCTTTCGTGAGGGGCCAGTCACCGAATAGCCAAGTATCAGCACGCGGCTATTTCCAAGCAAGCGCAAGGGTGACCCTCAAACACGGCCAGAAGTTGACCAAGCAGGTTGCAGAATTGCACCGTGGTGAGGAGCCTCTTTCGGAAGAACAGTTCCTGGGCGATGTTGGGGGAGATTTGAACATGTCTTGATAATTCTTGATACACATAAAGTATTTGGCCAGGCAAGATATTGTTTTTGTATGTTTTTGTAGTTTCATAGTCGGCAGTGTCTGTCATTGCTTCCAAGATTGTACAGTAATTAAGAAACCCTTTTTGTAGCCCCATACCCTAGGCATCCTTTTTGTAGATGTTGTCCGTCTATGTCGATCTGAGGTTCAAAGCATGCAGCAAAAAAGCTCTTACTGCTGTGCTTCGCTTGGCTTCCTTGGCATCGGATACAAAAACCAGCGTGTTGGAAGCGGCTTATCGAAAGGCATGTGCAAGCACCCCCAGCGAGAGATTCCTGTTTGCAGATGAAGAGCTGGAAGATGATGAGTTTTCTGATTCCGAAAACGCCCCAGACATCGAAAATGAGGCCGAGCAGTTTCTCCAGCAGTTGCAGACCGAGACAGTCTTTAATGACCCCAACGTGGAGACAGAGGTCCCAGATGAGGAAAAGATCGTCGACATGGAGTTGGCCAAGGTTCCTGATCAGCAGCAAATGAGAAGATTGTTGGAGAAGCCAGAGGCGTTGGTGTCTCATGAGGAAGCTTCTGCACCTCCCCAACAGAGTACCGGGAGTGGTGAATTCATGCCGTGGTCTTTAGGAGATGCCTTGGACCTCCAAGGTGATACCTTCAATGGGCTTTTCAGGTTTGCTGTCAGGCTCCGATCTGCTCGAGGTGGATGCGACACCAACTGGGTCCGTCATGGACGCAATTTGAGAAGGGCAAGTACAAGCCTGAACTGGCATCAGTTCCTGGAACTGCCTTTATTTGAAGCAGATGTGGGGCTCTATTTGTTATTTTTACATTTTTTTGTGGAATGCTTGGCGCACCCTGAGACAATTTTCTGATAGAGATGCTTTTTGTAGTTGTTGGATGCAGTTGGAGTTTCTGTAGTTTGATGCCTGGCAAGGTTCAATGAAAAGCGAATTGCCGACATGGAGAAAGAGAAACAAAGTGCAGAGTATCGCAGCAGGACCACTCGATTGGCGAAGTGGCGAGAGCTTGCCCAGCAGGCACAGAAAGACCTCGAGATCGGGGAGTCCGCACCGCAACGCATAATGATCCTTGGTTTACAGTCTTATCCATTCTTATCCTGTAACATGTTAAATGGTTTTACTTGATCTGGCAAATTCAATCACATTTAGTTTTTGTAGAGTTCAATTTTTGCTAGAGTCTTTTTGTAGTCTGTTCATGTTGTTTTTACGTGCTGTTCATAGCGGCTATTGGTTTCCCTGATTTCCATTGATTTCCAAGCACTTAGATCAAATCATATACAATCCAATCCTGTGCAGTACTGCATAATGATCCTTGATTTACAGTCTTATCCATTTTTATCCTGTAACATGTCAAATGGTTTCACTTGATCTGGCAAATTCAAGAAAATTCAGTTTTTGTAGAGTTCAATTTTTGTTAGAGTCTTTTAGTAGTGTGTTCATGTTGTTTTTACGTGCTGTTCATAGCGACTATTGGTTTCCCTGATTTCCAAGCACGCAGATCAAATCATATACAATAGAATCCTGTGCAGTACTGAGGCCTGGTCATGCGGTTCTCTTCCAGCTACCGAACCGAGATTTGCATGGAGGAGTTGAACTGGGCTTAATTTTGAGTGTGTGGAAGGGTATCAAAAACCCTCGCCTACATGCTGGCGAAACTGCTGTCAACTCGGTGATGGCCTTTCGCTGCGTCTGCTTGAGCATGATTGACCAGGACCACGGGCTCTACTCTAGTGGACAAGTTTCTCTTTGGCTGCTGGTAAAAGCATGTTTGTGATCCATATTTCTTGATTAGTTTATACCTGAGTTTTGGATAGTTTTGGATAGTCTTGGATAGTTTTGGAAAGTTGTGGTTGTTTTTTCCTAAGATCTCAGACCAGCAGGATCATGCTTCAGAGTGGCAATGTGGAGCGACATCCACAGCATGGACTGTCCGCTTGGAGTCGTTGATCTGCATCCTCGACGTTGAAACATGTGCCTTTGGAGGCAAATAGTTTGAGCCAACAAGATAGAAATCATGGACAGATGATGATTTTGCAGACCTTGCAGCTTTCACATGTGTTTTAATACTGTCTAAGATTTTCGTTGGCGGGTGAAACTTAATCTCTGCCTGTCAATCCCTGTGATGTTTCTATGTCTTTGTGTGAAGTGGTTTTTGTAGAGTTGAATGTGTGCCCCAAGTTTTTGTAGCATCGATTAGTTTTCTGTGAGGTGAGCAGCCTGAGACCGGCGACGGGCAGATGAAGATTGTCTTGACTGCTGAATCTGCAGATGTCCTCGCACGAGTTGAAGGTATGAGAAGGTGGGCAGTGGCACCCACAATGACCAGGGGTGCCAAAAAAGCTGCTTTGCTAGCAAACCAAAATGCCAAACCAAACAAAGGAAAAGGATCTGGAAAAGGGATGAAAGTTTCTGAAAAGAGCACTGATGAGACAGAAAAGAAAGAACCAAAAGATGAGAAGAAAAAGGAGAAGAAATCAAAGAGTGCAAAGGTGCTGAAGCTCGATGTCCAGGAGATTTCACAACAGAGTTTCCGCCGCCAGACGGCTGGTCGTGAAAACATCGGCTTTATGATGAAGAAGATCCATGAGTTGGACACGCAGGTCTTTGCCAAAGCTCCAGCCTTTGATCCTTTTGGCGTGTGCAGGTTGAAATTTGAAGGATCCGAGGAGTTCAGAGTGTATGAGATCATGGAGAATGCTCCAAAGGCTATCGAATTTTTGCACCTTAGCCTGTTCTAATAGCGTAATGAACATTAAAAAAAAACATAGAAATACAATAGTAATTCTGAAGTCGGTCTTGAAACCATTTTTGTAGGGGATTACAGTTCTGATTTCCAAATTGTAGCATCATCTCGATGAGTGCAAGGTCATCTACAAGTATGGAAAGTGGTTTTTGTAGGGTTCTGCTGCCCGGACTGAGAAAATGTAGCTAGCGTATGCTAGCGTTGAACCCAGGTACCGCCATTTCAAGACTCCCAGCGCGTATGGCAAAATGGTCTACCAGCATTTGACCAGCATCTACACGAGTCTCGAGAAAGAACCTCCATACCGAAAAGGTTGGCTCAGGTTAATCAAGGACATTTGCGACTACATCAAGGTTAACAAGGGAAAGAAAGAAGTAGAGGAGGATGAGGAAGAGTCGAATTGATGACTGTGTGTCATACTTGAAAAAAACCATGTCTCACATGTTCGTTTCCCCCATGCAGTCAGCGAGCTCAAACTAAAGCTTGGTTTTAAAGAAGGGAGTTTCTGTTGCCATTTTTTTGAGGAAGTGTATGCACTGAACCTCTGAACCACACATACTGTTTCGCTTTCATGCTCAATGCACACGAATTGCTGGCTTGGGATGGCTTGGGTGGAAAAGATGCCAGGGATCCACGGTGCCCAATTTGGTTACACGTTTTTGATCCCAACTCTTTTAGGAGGAAAGTAGGTGCAAAATGATGCAAGCTGTTCACACATGTTCAGCCTAATTAATTTAGACTAAGGACAATACGTCTTGAAACAGTCCGCCAGGCATCATTCCAGAGTACAAAGAAACATATGACAACATGGTTTCCATTCATGGTTTTCCTGGTTAAAGTTTCTGTGTCATTATATGTTATTGATGTTTGATGTGGTGGACTGACCTCGCAATGCGATGCATAGCAAAGCTATGAGAGGGTAGGTCAGCTGTTGGGAGTAGGCTAGGCTACACAAAGTCCCTGTGGAACAGAGCTCGTGCCAGGGTAAGCTGGAAAAAGAAAGGCGTTTGGCAGCAAATGTGGTCAGCTACAAAAAGCACCTCTGGATTTGCAGATCCTTCTTTTGGTGGTTTTTGAAACCATTTGGTCTGTGCCTGACCTTTTTGTATCTTAAACAAAATGGTTTTTGTAGTGATTTTTTTTTTAGTGGATTTTGTTTTCTGTATTGTTGGGGGGTTGTACCCAGCCAGAAGGTACCTACATCAAGGGAGGCAATCCTCACCCCCCAAATTTCAACGGGGATTATATAATTATATATATATTATATAATATCATACTTTGACTCCTATCAACAAGGCTATACTGTATACTAGTTGGTGGTTTGGAACATGTTTTGAGTTTCCCATCATATTGGGAATTTCATCATCCCAACTGACGAACTCACTCCATCATTTTTATTCATTTTTCAGAGGGGTAGGTATACCACCAACCAGTATAGCATGTATTAAACCAACACCTCTTTGGTTTCTCATAGAACTCCTACTTAGACACGACTCCAGGTTGCCGCAGCCGCCGTCGCTGCCGCCGCAACCAGGTTCCCCAAGATGGAAGCTGCGCACAACCGGGGCGAGTGTAAGTCTGGGCAGCCCGGACAACGGAGATTGCCACGCTGTGATGATATGGTGAATTCAATGGATTTCATAGGAAAATCTAGAGGAAACCATGTTTATCATGTGAAAAAAACCCATGAAATATGATGAAATATGGGGGTTTTCGGTTTCCATTTTCCCTGACACCATCCATCAAGATGAATGTTGAACTGCGGACTTTTCTGCAGATTTTGAGGCTGGAGTGAACCTTTTTCAGGACTAGTCGTGTCACTTTTTGTGTCAGAGTCAACGTCCAGATGTCCCAACATGATCCGAAGCCAGGCCCGTCAGACGGTAGGGCAGGGTAAACTGGATTGTGGAGAGAGGCTGTTTTTAAAGTTTTTTGTGCGATTTGCTTCTTTGCTGCTTCGAAAATTACCTACAAGCCATTCCTTACACAGAAAAAACAAGTTTCTTATCCAAAGTGTATCTAATAAATAGGGGTTTGTCTTGAAAAAATGCAGATCATTCTTCCATGTTTGTAGTACCTCAGAAACTGCATCTTAAATATATATATATATATTTATATATATATTGGAAAGATGTGTGCATATTACAGATTAAATTAATCAAATTGTAATATTTCATACTTGATAATTCAAAATGCAAAAAATGGTGCGATTCAAAGTGGAAGCAGTTCAACTTCATTGAGTGGCAGCTGACAATCATGTGATTCAAAGCCGACAAAGCAGTTTAACTTCACTTACTGGCAGCTGGCCAGCCCCCATCTGATCATTGAGCCCTTTGCGACTCTGCAGTCTGCAGTCTCAAGTTTGTTGGTGGCTTGCCCCCTGCTTTTGGAAATCCCCCGGCAGCTGAACCATGGGTTCTTGCATGTCTTGCTGGTCCTGGTGTGCAAAGGAGCAGCCGCTTCCTGACAGGTTGTGGGTTGCCCGCGACGGCGTTTCTTATCATATCAGCAATGACTCCCAACACATTGTGAGAAACCCGGCTGATGAAATTTGGACCAGGACCAGGCAAGGAAGTGACAACGTGACTACGTGGCATTTGGACTGTGCCGCCCAATCCAGAAGGCTCACTTCTGGGATGGGGCACAAGCCACCAGATCCGTTACCCTTATGCTTCGCTGCATCGCCCTTGGGACGGCGACCCTGGCTTCCCTTGCCAGCACCTGGTTTCCCCATGGTCGGAGCAGCTAAGCGGCTAAGTTGAAGTTGAAGAAGTGATGATCTGTGACACTGCTTATTTTCATGTAAGTGCAGGTAAAGAAACTATTGCTGGAAACTTGTAGTTGCTGGTGCTGTCGGTTTCATCTTCCTGTCTGTGTGTCATTGTTACTACACCCTGCAGTCAAACCTGAGGTCCGGTTTGAGCCTCACCGCGTAGCCAGTTCCAGGTCTGAAGGCCCAACTTGTAACCCAAATCTTAGCAACTCTCGTATATGCACCAGTGACTCAGACAGTGGTTGACGGCTAGTTACTTGCACTTACTATCGCGTTTCAGACAGTCCGCGGCTGCAATTTTTCTTTCCGCGGATGGAAATACAAGCGGGATTGTGGGGAGAAGCTGAAAGAGAATGTCCAAAAAAACTATTGATTTTTAATATAAATGCAAAAATATCAAACCGGGGCAAGCCACCAGGCCCATGACCTATAGCGCTACTGGGGGGCAGCGTCATGGAAACAAATTAATGATTAGGAGGGGCAAGCCACCATCCCACTCTCAATCCTGAATTATACGCACCAAATTATCTAATGAAGAAATTATGTGGTGACTTCACTGAAACCTTACGAAATTGCTGTGTTATGAATTGATTATGATTACTGTTATAAATGCTCGAATCAGCGACCACATAAACCATGCTTAGCAAATTCAACTTTACATAAAAAATCAGCTGCGTTTGTTCTGGTCAAGAACTTGCAGCATAGACCAGTTGTGGGCTGGCCGGTAACACCAAGGACTGACAGAATTTGTTTGCTTTCTTTCTGGGTGACAAAAGCGACAAGCTCGGCAGACGGTCTGTGGCGAAGTTGCGCTTTCTGCAAGCATTGAAGAAACAAAGGCATGTCTTTCAAGAGTTTCCACATATTGCACAACTGCTGCATGCGGCCAGTGATAGCTGCACACAAGTGAGGGTTTCCTTCTTGAAAACCGCTGCTGATGTAAACAGTCGTGGGGTGCTGACCGCACAGCAATACTTCACAGCTGGTCCCTCGCCATGACTAAACGCTTGAGGGCTGAGGAGCAAACCTCCGGAAAGGAATGCGTGCCACAAAGTTTCTGCAGCAGGATCTGTGACATCTGGAACAACAAACGCGTCCGCACGCAGAAGGGAAGATATTTTGCACCCAACTTGTCCATGTGCTGGTCCAGCACAAGGCTTGGAGCGGCTTGGATTGTTGAAATCAAAACTTTCTTGCCACTGCACAAAGAAAAAATTGATGCCGCAGCTTTCTCTTTTTTCTTTGTGTCTCGGATTTTTTGGGCCAAGTAGCTTCTCACTTTCTGACTTCTCGCAGCTTTGAAGTCCTCCACGGCTTGCTCATGGTCTGGACCTATTTCATTGAGTTTTTCTTCCGGTGTAAGCCCATTGCGAGCAGCTGCTTCCAAAGCACGTTCTTTACGCCTTTTTTTTTGTAACTGCGTTTCTTTCTCATGTTCTTGTGTCCAATGCTCGTTTTCGTGGACCAAAAATCCTGGTGTCGGGTCATCTCCGCATTTTTTCACTTCCTGCGCCACTGCAGCAGCACGTTGCCTCCGAAAAGCCTTAGTAAGCAAAATCTTTGTTCAAAATGATCTAAATTTTGAGTGTTGAGCACATGAAACTAGTTTTGAAACAAGGCGCTTGCCATGTGCCTTCTCTGGCCCTTTTCTTCCACCCACGCTGCGCTGCTACAGATCTTAAGACTGAGTCTTTGGAACTTGCGGCTTTCACTGTCCCAAAAAGTTGAGACCAAATCACCGCAGCAGCCTTTGCCAACTCCTGGTCTTGAGTTTCGGTCCAATTTTGTGTGGTCAAGAGGAAAATTTCATCCCTCAGGTTCACTTCCGTCATGTTTCCTTTGTTTTTTGTCAATGTTCGGACACCTGCAAAGTTTTGCTCCACACCCGAACTGGAGCAGCCCCAGCCAATAGCTCTACTCAGAGCCTGCCTGAGTTCCTCTTGGGGCTGGTGCTGGAGATTTCGCTTGTCCTCCAGAACTGTATCCAAAGCTGCTTTCCAGGCCATCACTGGTTCCATGTCTGCAGCGGATTCAAACTTGTGCTGAGCTACAGGGTGGTAGTCTGCAAACTGGCTTGACAGCGCGCACTCATCCAAGGACAAAACGTTTGACACTTTGTGGATCTTATCGCTAACATCTCGTGCTTCAGTCCTGTGGTCGTCTCTTCTGTGCACTTTGTCATTCAACGATTCCAAATGGAAAATGGACATAGACTGCAAAATCTCAAACGCTGGAAACTCCGTTGCGACCACTTCCTGCGCTAGCTGCACCCAGGAAGCACAGCGTTTCAAGCATCGGTAAACGACCGTCGCCATCTGCGGCTGGGGCAAGCCACCGAACCGTTTGGCCACTTTGTCAATGTATATCGTCCGTGGCTTCTGCAATTGGTCCAAAAGGTGGGCTGTGTAGCCAGTCTTCACGACTGCTCCTTTCAGAAACAGCACCTCCAACTTCATGACAAACTGCTGCACTGCAATGGCAAGGCTTCCTGACGTGGTTCTCTCAGAATCCAAGCGCCTGGTCAACTGCAGATTTTCCTCTCCAGCATCAGCAAGCATCCCAATGAGCAAACCTGTTTTCTCAGACAGAAGGTCTAAGAATGTCCGAGCTGCGTGGCCAACCTTTTCATTTTTCCTCTCTTCATGGGCAGACTGGGCTGTTCGGATCACAGCATCTAGCGTGAGGCAAACTTTAGCAAAGGGCATGCTCCACGAATCGAATCGGTGCTTCGCTGCAGAAAATTTGTCCGAAATCTCATTCCACAAGGGGGTGAGCTGCATGGCTCGAACGTTCTGGGCATACATGGACCGCAACACATCGGAGAAATGAATCTGTTGCACAATGCCATCGGTGTCCATGAACACTTTCTTCACAATTTGGTCGAGGACACGGTCGCATTTCCATGTCCGGCTGACAATCCTACGGGCGGCATGGGGCTTGTCTTTGTTGATGACCTTCAAGTTTGGGAACACTTCTGAGAATGTAGCCATGTTCACATCCAAAGCTTCAAGCAAGGCAGGACAAGTTCCGGGGCAAGCCTCCAGGAATCTATTATTACCAGATTCAAGGATCTGGCCAGCCAATTGCTCATCTGCAGCTGCGTCTGCGTTGAAGACCTCTGTGATCTCAAAGAGATGGGCCAACAAAGCTTTGTCCATGGAGGTGACATCTTCATTCAGCGCCTGGCTCGTTTCAAAGGATTCGCTGTGCTTGAATGGTGAGCACAAATCCGCCAACATCAGCAAGACACATTTGGCAATGCCGTGGGAGTCAAAGTCTTCAAGCTTTTGGCACCCCACCAAAGCATGAACTGGCCGCAGCTGTGGGCCACAACCTTGCACACGCAAAAGTAGTTTCCCTGTGGAAGCATCCGAGTGCAAAGTCAAACAATTGCAACTCCTCAAGTCCCTGCGAGTTTGAAACTTTAAAGCTTCAGCCAAGCAATACTTAGCTTTGAGCAACTTGTCACGTTTCAAAGTTCCGGTGCCTTCAGCCCCTCCTGCTTTACCCTGGCGGACCAAACGCAGAGCTTCCACGAAAGCAGCAACTGGAGGGGCAACAAGGGCCAAGCGAACGTCAGGATCAGAAACTGCTATCCTGTGGCTCTTAGCTCGCTCATGTTTATCGAAGTGCGCCTTCTGCAACGAGGACACTGTTCGAAACTCAGCGTGGAACTTGCCATGAAGCTTGCATGCCTTACAGTACACACTGTTCACTTCTCCAGCTCGGTTCCTTGTGCAGTGTAGCCAAGGGTACTGTGCCACCCATCTGGGCCCAAGTCTTTTCCATTTCTTGCCAAAGTCTGTCACAGGCTCGATCTGCTCTGGCCTGAAGTCCTGGCAAATTCAAGAAAAAACAGCATTTGAGACCCATGTTGGCACTGTCCAGAGCTAAGGCCGTGATTTGCAAAAACTCCATTTCTCGAACGGAGTTCCTGTCGAGAGCACCTCTGGATCCGGGAAGTCTTCTGAACAGTTGGGGGCGCCTGTCCAGAGGAAACTTTTCCATCATTTTTCTTGACTTTTGAAATTTTCAAAAGTCAAGAAAAATGAGTGAAAAGTTTCCTCTGGACAGTCCGGGGCGCCCCCAACTGTCGACAAGACCTCCTGGATCCAGAAGTGCTCTGGACACAGCAGGTCTGCGATTTGTTATTTGGAGTTTTTTTTTTTTTTCGCACCCTTTTTACTGTTAAACTGTGTTTTGAGGACCTTCTGGGAGGGTCTCTGGACAGTCGGGGATGCCCCCAACTGTCCAGAGCCAGCTCTGGACAGTCTGGGGCGCTCCGACTGTCCAGAGGGGCTGGTCCCTGGAATTGGCAAAATATTTGTTTAAAAAACAATTGATCTGAGCCTCCTCTGTACATCGATGGGGCGCCCGGCTGTCGAGAGAATCTATTTCTGTCTAACTTTGAGTTTTTCAATTATAACCTGCAAAATCGATCTCGCCAATTAACACTCGGTCCTGCAAGCATTGTTCAACATCCATGTGCTCTGGCAGTAAATCCTCCATGAGTTGGGCCTTGTGTCCCTGCAGGCGGTGCAAGCCACCGGCCACCAGTCCAAACAACTGATGTCTACTTGTTTGAAGCAGCCAAGCAGCGGCATGGGCACGCATGCATTGTCATAGTACCCCCCAAAGAGAAATTCTCCGACTACCTACTGTCAGTTCTAAGACCTTGCTTGAGCGTGTGCTCAGCTAAATCTCGCGACGCAGAGGCACTATACTTTTCCGAAGGTTCCACAAGGTGGCAATGCACCGCTCTGCAATCACGAATTGATGATGGTAGCACTAGTTTGCACCACTGAATTATGAATTACGGAGGGCAAGTTCCATGATGCAAGCCACCAATGTAACAGCTCACAAAAAAGGCGGCTAGAACTGCCAGCAGAGCCTAATTTCAGAATTGGTATGGGGCAAGGCACCAAAAACAAAAATCAAAGCCAAATTTGAGGAATGGGGCAAGCCACCCAAACCAAATTCAGATGTTGCAAACTTCTCTGTCTATGAGTCTGTGTGACCATCTCTCCTCACGCAGCGGCGCTTCATTCCACTGAAGCGGCTGTAGTCGACAAAGTCATGCTTCATGCTCGGCATTGCCCATGGGTCAAAATGTTCGGGGGGCACCTTGCCAACCATTTTCAGCAAATTCAACGCAACCCTGCCGATCACATTGACAGTGAAAGCGTTGCCAAGCATGCCTGCATACTTCTTCTTGCTGACTCCGGTAGGGATCCGTAAATGTCGTCCTGGAAACCCCTGAAGTTCTTCAAGTTCATTCAAAGTCATGTACCGCTGCATGGGTAGCAACATGTGACCTCCAGACTTGCACCGACTGTGCGTCAACGTCGGTGACTTTTCAGGCAGGGCTGTCGCGCCACGCTTCAAGCTGCACCCCACATCGGCGCACCACACAGCATCCTGTGACGCCTTCAATCCAAACATGTAAGTGGTTACTGTGGCTATTTTTACTCACTCAGTACCTGCAAATGCAGAATCGCAATTCTTTCAATGTTCTAACAAGGAAAGAACCAGAACAAATTATTAACGACGAGCTAAAAGCTGACCAATTTCCGGTAGCCAAAGAAAGAAAAATGATTGAGCCAACACAGGCCTTCGTGGCAGAACACTTCAGGATGGAATCCTGGATCATTTTGGCGACTGACACCAGGTGCTGCTGGACCCTTGCTTTGCCTTTCTCCGTGGCCACGCCGTGGTGTAAGTCAGAGACATCTGTGCAGTCCAGCAAACTGGACACGCTCCTGCAAGGGATGCGGGCTGGCCACTGCCATTTCATGGAAGGGTCCGCCTTTGCAATTTTCCAGCCAACAATGTAAGTGCGTAGCCGCGCTTGGGGCAAGCCACCTACAACGCTTGTGTCAAGAACATCAGAAGGCATTGTCATTGTCGTAAAAATGATGATTCAACAGGACAACCAAGAAGCTTAAAAATCAAATCAACAATTAACCAAATAATTTGCAATGAACGGGAACCTTGCATTCCACTTGGTACACTTTCTTGCCATTTGCATCTTCGATGGAACGTAGGAAAGCCAAAATGAAATCAAAGAGGAGCTTGAACTTCTTGTGCCGCGCTAATGGTTTGACATTCTCCAAGGCAAATGTCAGGGGCTGAATGGTCTTAATCGTTTGCAGAACACGCAGCAGCACATCAGCACGTTTATCCTGCAAGCCATTCTGCAAACCAGGGTGGGCCTGCAGTGTAGAGGTCGATTTCCCCACTGATCTCGGAATCATCCCTTGCCATGATGTTGTTGAAAATCCGAGGCTTGCTGCCAGCATGGGGCAAGCCACCAATGCCGTCGACTGCATAAGCTCCACCAGTAGCATAATTGCTCTCCAACACTTTTCTGGTGTGGGCATCTTTCTCAGACAAGAACACCGTGCAGGGCTCGAGGCCTGCCATTTTCAAAGCAGCAGTAGCAGTGTCCAGACCTGAGCAATCTGAGCCAGTGACAATCATCGGAGCATTTCCCCTCGGATCGAACTGCCTTGCCTTCAACTCGCCCTTCCCTGGCCTGGTGGGTCGCCCGGCGGCCTTCTGGCCAGCCTTGTACTTGGCCACTGCTCTTCTGACACCCTTTTTTGTGGCTGTGGTTTTTGCAGTCTTTGCTTTTGGGCCCTGTGCTTGAAATGCTTTGGGTTTGAAACCCAAGAGGCGTGTGGCCCTGTGGCGCCGCTTGAACTGCAGTCTCGGCACCAAGAGGGATGAACCTCTTTTCCTGTCGGCCCTGTGTTGTGCAAGCCCAGCGTGGACAAACTCAGCCTCAGCTTGGGCAAGTTCCAGCTCGTCCATGGCTTGGTCTCCAGACGTGAATGGTCCTGAGATCTCACTTCAAGCCAAATGCCTGCAGTGTTATCATGGAAAGTTGCGAATTAAACAAATAGTCTAGAATCAATTAACACTGCAAGGGGGCCCATGACAACACATGTCTGGCTGAGCCAACTTGTCTCAGTCGGTTTGTCTCTGTATCTGTCCATCACCGACAAACACTGATAGCCACTGATATATTCGATGGACAACCACTGATAGTCGGTGGACCGATGATCTTGACAGACAGACAGGCAGACAGACAGACAGGCAGGCAGGCAGGCAGACAGACAGACAGTGAGTGACAGACAGACAGACAGTGACAGACAGACAGTGAGAGAAAGACAGTGAAAGGCAGACAGTGACAGACAGACAGACAGTGATAAGACAGACAGTGACAGACAGACAGACAGACAGACAGACAGACAGACAGACAGACAGACAGACAGACAGACAGACAGACAGACAGACAGACAGACAGACAGACAGACAGACCGTGACAGACAGACAGACAGTGACAGACAGACAGACAGACGGACGGACGGACGGACAGACGGACAGACGGACAGACAGACAGACAGACAGGCAGGCAGACAGACAGTGACAGAGAGACAGAGAGACAGAGAGGCAGACAGTGACAGACAGTGACAGACAGTGACAGACAGTGACAGACAGTGACAGACAGTGACAGACAGTGACAGACAGTGACAGACAGTGACAGACAGTGACAGACAGTGACAGACAGTGACAGACAGTGACAGAGAGTGACAGACAGTGACAGACAGTGACAGACAGTGACAGACAGTGACAGACAGTGACAGACAGTAACAGACAGTAACAGACAGACAGTAGCAGACAGTAAGCGACAGTAAGCGACAGTAACAGACAGCAACAGACAGTAACAGACAGTAACAGACAGTAACAGACAGTAAGAGACAGAAACAGACAGAAACAGACAGAAACAGACAGAAACATACATACAAAACACTGGCCGACACAGGCCTGGCAAACACAGGCAAGCTGGCAGACGCAAACAAACACTTGACTGAAGACGCAGACAAACAACAGACAGACAGACAAACAGACAGACAGACAGACTACCGACAACTGACACTCTGACAAAGATTCGCAGGTAAATGCCACACTTTTTGATGATGCTGCTACGTTCCGCCGCCATCACATATCTTTGGTTCTCCTATGCATGTGTCTGTGTACCCGTGAGCGCGCTTGTGCGAAATGATGATTGCAAGCAACCCTTTCAAAGTCCAGGGACAACCGTCAGGTGCTATTTTTCGTCAGCACTGCATCATCGCTGGTCTTGCGCAGGAAAGCAAAGTGGGCACCTTTGACATGCCAGCTTTCAACCAAAAACAATGAAAATTGCACCGACACGCAACAGTAGCGCATGTTGTCACTTCCTTGCCTGGTCCTGGTCCAAATTTCATCAGCCGGGTTTCTCACAATGTGTTGGCAGTCATTGCTGATATGATAAGAAACGCCGTCGCGGGCAACCCACAACCTGTCAGGAAGCGGCTGCTCCTTTGCACACCAGGACCAGCAAGACATGCAAGAACCCATGGTTCAGCTGCCGGGGGATTTCCAAAAGCAGGGGGCAAGCCACCAACAAACTTGAGACTGCAGACTGCAGAGTCGCAAAGGGCTCAATGATCAGATGGGGGCTGGCCAGCTGCCAGTAAGCGAAGTTAAACTGCTTTGTCGGCTTTGAATCACATGATTGTCAGCTGCCACTCAATGAAGTTGAACTGCTTCCACTTTGAATCGCACCATTTTTTGCATTTTGAATTATCAAGTATGAAATATTACAATTTGATTAATTTAATCTGTAATATGCACACATCTTTCCAGTATATATATATATTTATATTTAAGATGCAGTTTCTGAGGTACTACAAACATGGAAGAATGATCTGCATTTTTTCAAGACAAACCCCTATTTATTAGATACACTTTGGATAAGAAACCTGTTTTTTCTGTGTAAGGAATGGCTTGTAGGTAATTTTCGAAGCAGCAAAGAAGCAAATCGCACAAAAAACTTTAAAAACAGCCTCTCTCCACAATCCAGTAAATAGCCAACTACTGGGCTCACCATTTGATCCATATGGATTTTGGTTAGTTGGAAACCAACATATTTGCTGCGGTGAAAAGTTGGAAACTTATGGAACACATGTGGAAAACATCATCTAAACACCATCCTGGAAACACTTTTTCGGCATCTTTCTGTTTTTTGGGGATTACCCAACTGGGTAATGCCGCGAACTGGAGAATTACCTTAGGGTCATGTAATTATAATCTATAAATCGGCCAAGTTCATCCATTTTCCGTGAACTAGCCACATATACCAATTCTGGTTGGTGGTTTGGAACATGCATCTTAATTTTCCCATCATATTGGGAATGTCATCATCCCAAACTGACTTTCACTCCATCATTTTTCAGAGGGGTAGGGCTCAACCACCAACCAGAATTATATTTCCCATCCCATGAAATCCCGGCAGCGCCGGCAGCCGAGGCCCTGTGCATATTTTCTGTACAAGGCCGACGGCTGTCGCAATAGCCCGGGCGCCCTTTTAAAAAAGGGCGCCGTCCCGTTTCACATGGGGATGACAAGCGTATCCATATGGTTGTTGTACCATGTTGTACCATTAGCATATGAATATGTCAACGATATATGGGTATGGATCAATACCTATGAAAATATCATTTTTAGTGGGTTATTCACATCCATTTAACCCAGCTATTTTGATGTTCACCAGGGGTACAAGGTTTTGACACACTGCCATATGATCGAATTATATCATATCATTCGTTTTTGTGATTCCGTTTCATCCCCTGATCATTTCTTTGGCTTTGCCATGGAAAATGGCGATGAAACGATGACTGAATCCATGGGAACAACGTTTCAACGGCTTGTCTGATAGGATAACACAGGGTACCCGGCCTGGTAAACATACAAAAAGCTATTGAACATGGCCATTTATAGTGAGTTTTCCCTTTAAAAATGGTGATTTTCCATAGTTATGTTAGTTTACCAGAGGGTAAGCCATTCCATCCCATAGTTGATCATCACCTGTTTGAGATATCTGATAGGTATCCCCCCATTGGACCAAGCCAATTGGAACAGGACAAGATTTTCATAGAATTTCCATTTCCTTGTGAGGTCAGAGGTGGACCTACATCACTCAGATGACACATTTGGGATTTCGCTCAAGATCGCCAGAGGGACCGGATTTTGCAGCTTTAAACTGCTCAAAGCCACAGCCGGGATGGATCCGTAGACGTCGAAAAGCTGAGGCGACAATTGCCCCTACTGCCATCTCTGTCGAAAAGGCGTGCTCTGAAAATCTTTGAAGGTCAATTTTTTTTGGGATCTGGGATATTACTGTTTATATTCATATATACGTATATATATATATATACACACATAATTTCATGTTATTACTTGTATTACTATTTTTTAAAAACCGATGCTGATTCTGGTTCAGGAAAGTACGAAACCATAAACCTTTCTAGGAATTTGCTAAGGTTCCTGGCATCCTACATGGCGGCATGATGGGTCGACAGCCGGCCGCTTTCGTATCATTCCATGCAGGAGAGATCAAACGTCGCAAGAGGAAGAAGATCAAAGCTTTGAAGGTGCGGCTTTGCTGCGGGAAATTGACGAACATCTCGGTTTTTTAATGGGGGTTCAACCCAAAATGGAATGTACCTTGGATGTGTTATATAATATGTACCTTGTATCTCGGTTTATATGTATATAAGATATGTTATATATTTCTCTATAACTAGCATGAAAACTGTGCTATGGTCAAACCGTGGGTCACAAAATCCAACCAAAGTGGATGGTCATTCCCTTGCTTTTCGGATGGATCCTTGGGTGATTGTCATGACTTAGCAACGGTCACCTTCACAGCATGAGGATGCTTTTTGTTCCTTTAAAAAACATGGTTAGCACTCAGCAAGTCTTTGAATTGAGTGCTTGGAGTGCTTTTCGGATTCGACAACAATTTGGCAATTGAATAAGCTAAATAATGGGATATACCCTCTGGTAAACTAACATAGCTATTGAACATGACCATTTATAGTGGATTTTCCAATTGAAAATAGTGATTTTCCATAGTTATGTTAGTTTACCAGAGGGTACATATATTAATTTGGCATTCCCATCGCCTTTGGGTTTCGCATAACCTTGCCGTCTCCCCATGATTCCATGGCGACGGTGCATCCCGCAGCCGATCTTTTCAGCAATGGCACGGCTTTTTTCAACGGCTCGACCCGTCTAAAGAGCTCCTCAAACCCATAAACAATGGCTTACTTGATAATCTTGATACTAAGAAAACCATGATACATGGTCTTAAATCCAGATTCGATGGACGCATGTTGACGGACTGTGAAGCGACCTCCGATCCAACAATCTTCTTCCAGGTTTGCTCAGGAACCAGCTATGAATCCATGATTTTCCCATGTTTTTCCCATGCATTTCCCATGTTTTCATGGAAAACAACCCATCCAACCCCCATCAACGTACGCGGTTTGCCGCTTCCGCATGCGGTGCAGCGACAGCACCTGGCGCTGGGTGAAGATCTTGGGCGCGGCAGGGTGGCTTCTGGCTGCTGCACCGCTGCTGGGCGAAGTCCTGGAATTGTTGGGAAATTATGATGGGATTACCCTCTGGTAATGACTAACATAGCCATGGAAAATGGCCCATTTATAGTGAGTTTTCCCATTAAAAATGGTGGATCTTTCCATAGTTATGTTAGTTTACCGGAGGGTATTCTAGATTTATCAACAACTGATGTTTTTCGTTGTAAGTAACTTGATAGATTTGATTATTCTAGATTTATCAAGCTAGTTACATCACTCTTGAGCTACTAAACAGTATCACACCAAACAATCCAATATTAGAGAGTTTGTCTGTACTCAATTAACACGACCTGCGAAGTCCTGTGATGGGAATGTCTGGTGATTACTAGGTGAACCAACTGGATGGGTACTAAGCTCATGATCAGAAGGCTGGTTCTAACCTCATGATGTCCTGTATTCATTTGTATTCTAGGTTGACCAACTGGATGGATAGAAACTCATCCATACGTTCACCAGCTAAGAAGTTGTTATTTTTTGCAGGGTATCTAAGATTGGCTGGTAATTAATTTTAGATCACTGGTAATTACCTTGGAATACTAGAGGGAAGTACTAATCCATTTGTGGAATCCACTAGTGTTCGTTGATAAAAAGTGTTGATGGTTGATAATATATGATAATATATATATATATGTGTTGATTATTAGATTTAACGAACTGTCAATCCAACCCGAATAAATTACGAACTTATGATGGGAATTAAATCTAGATCACTGGGAGTACCTATTAGATCGTAATTTATGGCTAGTAATCTATCATTATGATGGGATCTACATTTATCGCTAGTGATCATGCAACCTAGTTACATAACAAATGACCAGTATTAAATATTATCATCAATGATAGCGACCTCACTGCTATGTCACTGGAATGAGGGCTAATGACTAATAGGATCTAGCAGATCTAGCAGGGCACTATGGCCTTATGGGGAGACGTAAATTTTTGACGGATTATTGATGGCTTGTGTGGGTATAGGTAGCCCAACAGCCCAACAGTGACAGCTCAACAGGTTACCAGGTCTCAAACAACCCCAGGTTCAGATGGCCACTCCCAGGCTCTACATCTTCATCATCCAGCAGATTTACCAGCAGCTGGGCCAAGACAGCGATAATGGGCGATACTTGGGGCCCAAAGCGCTGTGCTTGGACTGTTGCATGAAGATCTTCTTCTTCATGACCGTTTGGCAGGCCCAAGATGACTGTTCCGTTTGGCCAGAGATGGAATGTTCAAACCAGAACATCAACCAGGGATGGGTTGAACGGTTGAACGGTTGAACGGTTCGTTCAACCAGTGATGGGCCAAGAGATCTCATTCCGCAGCAAGATCAAAAGGAAATCTGCGTGGTTTGGCACTGGCCCGGCCATCATTTTGAGGGGCCCTTTTTTGTCAATATTATATATAATTATATAATTATATAATTATATGATTATATATAACTATAATAATTATATGATTATATATATATATATACATATATATATATAGAGGATGGGATTACTCTACAATCAAGATTTGGGTAACTTATGATTATTGTAACAGACCATATAAAATATCATGGGATTGATGGGTTTACCGACGTCAGGCCACGATGGATCTCTTAGTGTTGGCGCAGCATGGCAGTAACCAGGCGGCACGTAGTGCCCTGATGCTAGGACCTGAGAAATACGTGCCTCGGCGGAAACTGGGACGGTGAAGCCTTCAGAGTCAAAGCTTTACCTGA